GTTTTTGTCTTCTTTTCCAAAGAGGAGAAAAAGGAATTTTCAGGCAGCACTCAACTGCAAGATTACCATACTACGGTAATCTTGGCTTCAAGTTGGCCTTGTAAAGACTGTTATCCGAAAATCCTGCTAACCTGCCATCCGTTCATCGACCAAGCAAGGTGGCTGAGCTTATCCATCCATGCGGGCCAATGCTCGAATGATGCAGTGGTAGATGCCCTATAAGATCACGAATCAGTTTCAGGATGCCCAGTGATTAATGCCTCCAAAACTCCACCACCCGCACCTCACAAATGTCCCTTATGAGTGAATATTTGAAAAACCAATCCATTTGAAGTGAGCCTTTCGCGATGACATCCTGAAATATAATGGAACTATTAGAAGATTTCAAGGACAATGCTTAGTGCTAGATCACATGATTAGCGAACCTTTAGCGATCCCCGAGAGCAATATTTCCAAACGGACATGACATATGGCCCATCCAGGGAGATACCGTGGAATTTACAGAGGTTGTCGTGATCAGTGCTTCGCATCTAAAATGGAAAACCTATTTATCAGAAATGGGTAGATTAATTGGTGTTCTGACTTCTTTTCTTCCTCGTTTTTACTCCGCGCAATCGGGCAAAATCAGGGTCCACTGGCTTGGCTGGCTTACGACCAAGGATTCGCTGTACGGATAGCGGCGTTTGTCTTTAGATCTGTTTTGCCCATGAAAATGTAGGATAGAATATTGAAATGGATGGCAGCTGACATTGATGTAAAATATCAGATTAACCTTCCAGCGACTTTTCCGAGTAGGTAATAATGATAACGAGTATGGTGAACATGGATCGGACATTCTTCTTTGGGGGCGGGGGGGGGAAGCGAATTTCTTCGGTGAAGAAGGAGGAGGAGGTCGTATGTGGGGCTCATGATTGAGACGGTGGGATAAAGTTAGAAAAAGGAAATAACGTAAATTAAGACAAGACATTGCAGCTCCAGTGCTTGTACCCTGCCACCGCCTGGTGGTAGTTTTTAAGGGATTTGGGGGGGGAGGGAGAGTTGAGGTTTGTTGGGTCGAATTAAGCTCAGCGACGCCCTACATCAATCGGAGGGGATTGTGTTGAGCATGGTGAGAGAGGGGTTGTGTGGCTCTCCGTTGGATAGTGTGGAAACCGTACTGCCGCGGTCATTTCCTCGGCAAGATGTTCAATCTGGCAGCGAGATTTTTTCCCGAATCATACCTTCCTCATTGAGAAGCAGTCACTTTTGCGCAATATCGGCCTTCCACTATGCTTTCGAGCCACCACAGCATCATCGACGAGCAGGAAGAAATGAATGTCGCAAAGTGTCCTGGAAAGGCGACGATAGCTAATTAGTCTTCAGTGACCACTATCTTTTCATCAAATATCCCTGTACAAATTCAACGAATACCTTCTTCGAGTCGATAGTGACTTTCGTGCTTGATGTAATGGTGCTCTGAAGGGAACGTGAGCTGTGGATGGTGGTCTGAAATGTAGCACTTGTTTAAAGGCAAAGGTCGGCATAAGGTGACCAAAATCAATCCCTTCCATCGCCTTTGTGCGTAGTTACTATGCACCCGCAAAGGTGAAACCACGCTTGTAATTTGGAAAAACTTGCTAATAAAGGCCCCCGGAAAGAATTGTTAGCTATCACCGCCTAGCCTTAGCTATAAGGCTGGTGTCAGAGTCCGCGATCCGTCGCAGGTTTCGCTGATTTTCGCGATTTTCGCGATTTGCGCGATTTGCGCGATTCACGCGACGGGTCACGGAAATCACAAGTGCCCCATCAATACTGCAAGGTGTTCTCCAATCCCGCCGTCACTTCTGCTTGATGGTTATGGTTTAATGGAGACTGCTCATGATTCCACTTGTTTCATATCCAGTGTTTCAATTGTTCAAATGGGGCACTTGCAATTTTTGTGATTGGTTTGGTTTGATTCCTGAAAAAAAAAGGAACGATTCAAGAGCATTTCAATGAACTAATAGACATTGAACATGAAACAAGTAGAACCACAAACATTCGTCTTCCAATCTTTACTGCCAAGCAAAATTCGCAGCAGGATTAAACAACACCTCGCAGTATTCATCGGGCACTTCCAACTCCTGTGATCCATCGCAGGTTTCGCGAAAATCGCGCAAATCGCGAAAATCGCGAAAATCAGCGAAACCTGCGGCGGATCGCGGACTCTGACACCAGCCTACCCGCGGCAGGTGGTGGGCGCGAAATCAGCGGGTTTGATCGCCATATCAACTGTTGGCACGGAATCAGCGACTGCTTGCAATCCCGAAAACTCGTTCGGCCTTCCTGGTATGCCTGCCCCCCTTTTTGAAGTG